TTCTTACGAGAGTAAAGCATTCACCTCAACTAATTTGGATCGAAGCTCGTGTCTAGAGCTTATGTTATGCCAATGCGAGTGATGTGTGTGAGGAGTAACATACCTACCTTCGACCCAAAAGGAAAACAAAACACGGAAAAGATGATAAAATCTTGATAAAGCTGAAAGCCAAAAATAAAATGTTAGTATGCCAAAAACGAAGCAATTAAAAATTTCAATAAACGGATCATAAGTTAACTATGTACTAGAAATCATAATTTCCACCAAGACGACAATGTGTAAGCGACATACAGCTTGACTCTCTAAAAAAAACTCCCCAGCGGAGTCGCCAAGCTGTCATAACCATTTTTTAGGAAAATAATTAAATATTATTTTTAAAAACAATTATGACTTTAATTTGGAAAAATGGGTGATTTTGCATTGATTTGAATAAAATTAAAAAAGAGTCGCCATCAACCTTTGGGTTAGGTAGGTCGAATACCTAAAAACGTCTTTTAAAACAATTTTAAGAAAAATCATTTTTTAAGACAAAATTCGGTCTGCGTTACCAAAGATTCATTTAAATGGATTCGGGAGTCGATTACGTGCGGGGAAGGGTAAGCACCCCACAACGCCCAAAAACTGGTACTGTGTCGCTTACATGTTGTCGTAAAATGGTGGAAACTATAAATCGAATATAAAGTTAAATTACGATCCATTTATTGAAATTTAATTAATTTACTTCGAGTTAACTATTTAAAGAAAATCCTTTAACTCGATAAGAAATCTTGAAATTTGCAATCCTCCGTCGGGAAAGCTATTTCAACTATTTCTCTTTTGTAAAAGAATATTCTACCATTGATTATGTAAAAAAATTGCGAATCAAATATAACTAAAAACGATGTTTACATACGGGTAAATTGATTAACTAAAAACGTGAATTGAATACAAATTAAAAAATTTGAAATTTACATTCACATAAAATAAAATAAATTGTCACTTAAAATAACACACATTGCATCGTTTGAACAAATTAATTAGCAAAATATACTCGACTTATTTCAAGTTTCTATGTCGTTAAAATGCCGTACCGGATCACACCACTTCGATCAAGTGGTACTTTCCACGCCCATTCTACGCATACGTGTTCTTGAAAATATAATCGAATATTTCTTACATAGATAAAGATATAATGAAAATAAATGTAATTGGAAAACAAAAATAAAATATTTACATTAAATGAAATTGAAAACATTATTTACATAATCCAAATAATTAAGTAATGAGTAAAATACACATCCATACATAAATGTCTAAAAATAAATTAGTAAATATTACAAACCAAAATTAATATAAAACATTTAAGAGGCTAAAATAATATAAACAGAAACTTAGGAGGCTAAACAGCAAAAACAGAAAGTTAATGGACCAAAAAAAAACACTAACCGAAATTTAAAGGACTAAATAAAAAATAAAAATAATTTAGAGCCCATATCACAAACATTAAACAGTCAAATACTAGAAGTGAAAATAACCCAAAAGTAAAGCTTATGACTAAATTGAAATTTCACAAACATGGAGGATCAAATAGTAATTAGATAAAATGTCAGACAGTGACCAAAATAGAACATTTGCAAGTATGATGGCTGAATTCAAACATCCACAAAATATCACAATACAAGAACTTAGGACTAGACTGAAACTATTACAAACATAATGTCTAAAAGTCAAATATTCACAAAAATGACATAACATACATTAATAGGACTAAAATAAATATTTAAAAATGGGATGGCCAGATTCGAATATCAAAGAAACATACATGAAATATTAAATCAGTGGCTAAGATGTAACATTTAAAAATATTGAAACCAGAACCAAATATAAACCAAAAAATGTTATAATACCTAGGATAGTGACTAAAATGAACCTAAAAGAAAATTTAAGCCTAAATCAAATATTAATCCCAATCGAACCCACAAGCCAACATAAAGGACCGAAATGAAAAGGATACAAAACAGATAACCAAATCATAAACCTCACCGAAAATAAAAACTAAGAACAAAGATGGACTAAAATAGAAGGCAACCCAGTTTAAAGACTAAAACATAAATGTTAATAAATTCCATTAATATACATACAATGATCAAAATAAAATTAATCACAAATCAATAAACCTGAATAGGCATAAAACCAAACTAACATTACAGAAAATTTAAGGACTGAAATAAACATTTCACAAATTCCAGGCTTGATATATAAAAATTGTCATAAACATCAACACATATGTTAGGACGAAAATATAACAAGAAATAAAAAGGAGACTCAAATAGAAAAACTGAAACCTAAAAGACTAAATAGGAATTAAGCCATACACAAGCCAATGGCTAAAATAAAATATTCACAAATATAGTGACCAATGTCAAAATTAACAAAAATAACTTAACAAATAATAAAAGGACTAAATATAAATAAGGAAACATCAGAATCTGAAATCAAATAAATGAAACTTCATTTAATGGCTAAATAATACGGTTACAAAGCATCAGGGACCAAAAGCGTAGTTACCCCATGCGTGAAATTACAGAACTCGTCCCCTCAAAACGACGCCGTTTCCCACAAGCTATAAATAGCCCAAATATCTCCTTGAACCGGCCATCTGCTTCATTTTCCCTTCAACATGAGAAAGGGAAAGAGAGAGAAGAGGAGAGAGTGAGAGAGAGATATCTAGAAATCTCTCTGGAAACGGCGAGATTCCGCCGTGCCGGCCGCCACTGACCGGCGGCCGCCGCCGTACGCCGGCGCCGAAGGGAGAGAAAACGACACTATTCAAAGCGTCTCCAGACCCTGAGCAAGGATCTGGCCTCCGTTTGGCCTAAAAGTGGCTCAATCACAGTGGATTAGGGGAGAAACCTTTCGGTTTCTCCATCTCCGGCGACCGGTTTTCATCGGTGTTCGACCAAGGTATGGTCTCTATTCTCTCCTCTTTTTCCTATCTTCTGTTTTTTTTTATGTTTTCTCTTTCTTTTTTTCTGAACCCGAATGGTCTCCTCTTTCTTCTCTCTGTTTTTCTTCGAATGCCCCCTCCCCCTCCTTTTTGTTGCTGCATGTACTTTAATCTTGTTTGTTGGGTGAGATGATGATGATATCTAGAATAGGGGTATGAGTCTCATTGATTTTGCAGGATTAAATCCCGTAAATATCGGGATTTAGGTTATATTTTATTTGGGGGTTTTAAAATTTGGGGAGTTGGTGCACTGTAGATGATAACTTGGGGTTGATTTGTTTTCTGATTTTTCACTGTAGATGACGATGGTGGCGCGGGAACGGCGGCTGGACCATCGGAGTGGGCCGGAACAGTGACGGCGGCGCGGCTGGAAGTCCAACAGAAGCGGCGGCGGCGGCTAAATATTTAGGGTTTTGAAACCCTAATTTTTGTTGGGCTCGTGTGATGGGCTCGGGTTAAGCCTAGGTTGGGCCTTGTTGTATTGGGCTTTGGCCTGCAAAAAAATATGTAATAATAAATAATAATAAAATAATAAGATAACGATAATAATAATAATAATAATAAAATAACGGAAAAAAAACCCGGACAAAAACGGGTGTCCACAGCTACAATTCCCACCTTCTCATTCTTTAGAGCAGTTGTAGTTAAGATCCCACATATAGGGTTGTAAATGAATAGTGCTCGATTAATTTTTCGTAATTTATTCATATAATGTTTGTTTCTCTACGTTTGTTAAGTTAAATAAACGAATATGAAAAAAAATTATGTTCATTTAATAAATAAACGAACACAAACAGAGTTATATTCAATTCGTTTATGTTCACAAACAAACTCATTTTTGAGATCGTTTATCGACTTATCTGAATCTCCTTTAGTTTGTAAATGAAAGGGTAAAACAAAAAAAATTGAACATATAAATGAACACTAAACAAACACGTTCGTGAATGTTAAATGAACACGTTCATGGATATATAAACAAACACGATTGTGAACATTAAACGAACATGTTCGTGAGAAATAAATAAACGAACACCATTTAAAATAAATAAACAAACACGAACACAATACTACAAATTTAAATGAACGCGAACCGAACATGAACACCTTTAAAAGTGAACAAACGAACACAACATAATCTTATTCGTTCAAACAAACACAAAAATAAATAATTTTTTTTTATTGAAAATCAAAGTCCCCTCTCTCAATGGTATTAATAGGTATTTATAGCGACTCTAATATGATGATATTAAACATAGGATAATCATGATTATTTATAGGTTAGTGTATTAGACAAATTTAATCAGTGTGATCTTAAATTTTATATTGACAAGTCACATGAAGTTACGAGGGATCGTACTTTTGCATTGTGCTCGAGGCGAGGATATATGTCTAGAAGATGTGGGCTCCTTGATATCTCCAATAAATGAAAAAGTCTGAAGATTTTGAGCTAGCAGCCTCCGCAGGTCCATATCTAAACGAGTATGGATAGTTTTCGAAGTTCTTCTCCAAATATATAATGCAATATTATAATATTTAATTTAAGGATTAAATAATTAAAATATTAGTAGTGAAATAACTTTTATATATAGAGGAATGGTATATGGCAGTGATGATGATTCGTTCAATTGTGTGGTGATAGGGATGAATAGCATTAAGTACATGGAAGAAGCAGATCACTCAGATTTCCAACAGGATAGAGAAAAAACACAACCACCCCGAATGGTTTGGTGTGGCATTAATTGTAAGAAGTTTGCTACTCATTAGGTTAGCATGCACCGTCCTTTTCCATTCTTCTCTTCATTGATTGAAATGTAGATTCCATCATGAGAAAGCCAAAAGATGGAGAGAATACGTAAGACATATCGTCTGCTAAACTCAGCTATGGTGGTAAGCTTTAATACCAACACCAGAAAGAAAAATAGAGAGAAACTTCATGTTGACTTATACTTTTAAATTTGGATAAGCAAATGAAAGCAAGACCATAATGTACTACTATTTATTGCAATAGAAAATTAGAAATTCACACATTAATTAACAATGACATATAAACAATAAATTAAGAATTTCACTCTTGATTTGAACTTTTTTGTGCGTGTTTTCTTCATTCGTCTCTCATTCAAAATACTTTTATTGCTTGCCATACTTCTGGACAACTTCTTCACACTAACCTTCTTTGATAGCTTAAGACGATAACCTTTTATCACTACAAAAGCTTAAGGATGATGGGGAGAAAAGGGTGGCAATGGAGGCCATTTTCCGAACTTTGGGTGGTGGTGGAAGTACTTGGGAGGAATCTTCGGGAGAGGAGGAAGCTTTGGTAGGGGAGGGTGGGCGAAATTCTTTGGAGGAATCTTGGGAAGGGGAGGAAGGTTAGGAAGGGGAGGGCATGGCTTCTTAGGGAATGGAGGGATCTTGGGAAGTGGAGGGAGTGGCTTGTAAGGAATGGGAGGGAGGGGTTTTGGCTTGTATACAGGAACAGGTGGTGGAAGCGGTTTCGTATAGACTGGAGTCGGAGGTGGTTCGTATACAGGAGGTTTGTACACCGGAACGGGTGGAGGCAATGGTTTCTTATATACGGGAACTGGAGGAGGCTTGTAGATTGGAACTGGAGGAGGAAGTGGCTTCTTATACACCGGAACTGGCGGAGGCTTGTAGATTGGAACTGGAGGAGGAAGTGGCTTCTTATACACCGGAACTGGTGGAGGCTTGTAGATTGGAACTGGAGGAGGAAGTCGCTTCTTGTACACCGGAACTGGTGGAGGAAATGGCTTCTTATATACTGGAACTGGCGGAGGAAGTGGTTTCTTATATACTGGAACCGGAGGAGTTTTATAGACTGGAGGCTTGTAGACTGGAACTGGAGGAGGTTTATAGATTGGAACTGGTGGAGGAAGTGGCTTCTTGTATACTGGAACTGGCGGAGGCTTATAGATTGGAACTGGTGGAGGAAGTGGCTTCTTGTATACTGGAACTGGGGGAGGAAGTGGCTTTTTATATACTGGAACTGGTGGAGGAAGTGGCTTCTTGTATACTGGAACTGGTGGAGGCTTATAGACTGGAACTGGTGGAGGCTTATAGACTGGAACAGGTGGAGGAAGTGGTTTTTTGTATACTGGAACTGGAGGAGGTTCATAGACCGGAACAGGTGGAGGGAGTGGTTTTTTGTAAACAGGAACAGGAGGAGGTTTATAAACCGGAACAGGTGGAGGAAGTGGTTTTTTGTATACTGGAACTGGAGGAGGTTCATAGACCGGAACAGGTGGAGGGAGTGGTTTTTTGTAAACAGGAACAGGAGGAGGTTTATAAACTGGAACAGGTGGAGGAAGTGGTTTTTCATATACAGGAACTGGCGGGGGCTTGTACACCGGAACCGGGGGTGGAAGAGGTTTCTTGTAGATGGGAGGGAATATGGGGTGATGGTGGGGAAATCCATTCAATGGCGGAAGTGGAAACGTTGGCAAAGGAGGATGGTTCCACTTAGGCAATGGAGGATGGTGCCACTTCGGCAACGGAGGGAACTTAAAGTGAGGCCAGAAGGAGGCCGAAGCACACGTTACAGGCGAGAACCTGAGCCTTCCTTTCAACCCCAAGTTGTGTTTCTCATCGCTACTGGACTTCAACACGATCTTGGTCGACTCCACACCGTCATGAGCGGGACAAGGTGCAGCCGATACACTATGAAGCTGCGCATAGCATTCTTCCTTCAATTCCCCATCTTTAACCATATCATCGGGAAGTGATACCTTAAAATTCCCATGCTTATCAACCTCACCCGAACCTCGTGTCTTGAAATACTTCCCGTCTTCTGGCTTGCAGTCTATGTTTACACGAAGCCCTGAAAAAAAAAAAGAAGAAGCACGAATCACATACACACATCATATTTACATGCAAATATGATACGCATGCAAATGAACGTGCAGTACCTGAAAATGCCTGGCTAGTCTCGAAGTTATTCTCTGCGCAATCTGCACACTCGCCAATCCCGACAACCTCGACTGTTTTGCCATCCGCATTCCAAAAACTGACGACAAATAACAAATAGAGAAAGAAGCACACAGGTGCGCCTCCTCGGATCTGCATCGGGAACCGAGCTTTGACGGTGGCCCTCCCAAAACAGAAAATGGTTTAGGGAACCAAAATCAAATGATATATCAGAGCTTATTAGCTGATGATCAGAAAACAAAAGCTAAATGAGGTTGAGTGATCAGAGATTGGATACAAAGAGGTATTATATAATGATCTTAAGGGAAATGCAGTCCATAGGCACACCGACACCTCACTTAAAGGCCCTCACATGAATTAGGGACCCCTTTGAAAACGAAATTTGCCACTGCACACCACTTTTCTCAATTGAGCAGATGGCATTATCTTTTTCATTCAATGAGGTCTCAACTGCATACAGCTAAATTTTGCTGTCTCTTTAAACCTACTTACTGACTTTCATAAATATAAATCTTTGCTTATAGATGAATTTTGGGTTGAATTACGAAGATGGTCCTTGCAAAAGCAGTATGGAACTAACATTATTGTTTTGATTTTTCTTGATCAGGTTTGTGTATTAGTACTGACAACTTCACGTGAATCAACCACAATGCCAACCGATTAATTACTTTGATAGTCCTATATGTTGAATTGCTTTTTCATTAGTCATCCATGGCTTCAAAAATTCGGATTGAATTTGTAGGATATTTTCTTTTTCTTGACGTAATCGTCGGGACCATATACCTTCTATTGTACGTCTCATTCAGAAATCTGATAAACTAAGTGGCTTAGGGTCTAATGGTAGCTGGGAGATTGTACATCATAATTGTGGAATTAAAATTATTGGCTAAATAGGTGTTTGAATGTAAACAATAAGCTGGTTGCAGTGAGAATACAAGAAGCATGTTATTTGATGATATACAATCTCAAATAACCTTTCAAATTTTATGATTATTCCTATTTTTAAATATTATTTTCGAAATTTGAGTTTGAAGACTTTTTAAAAGTACAATACCCTTTCTCATGATAATTTAGATAAATTCAAGAAAGTTCTGAATTTACTCTTTTTTTGCCGGCATTTAGAATTTGCTAGCATTGCCAAAACTGGCACCTTGGAATTTGGATATGATAGCCTTTAAATAACTCTGGTAAAATTTTAACCCTGTGCAAATTATAATAGCATGAGCTGTGTGATTGATTCATTACTAGCTAATTGCTACATCTACTTTTCTGCACTAATTAATAAAATCCATAAATACAATGAAATAAATATATTTAAACATGTAGAGTTTTAATGATGCATTGGAAAAGAAAACTGGATTTTCAACACTTCGTTTTCAGAGCTATAGGTCATAATCTGCCCAAACGACTACTGATATAGGAATAATCATATGTTTAAGAAAAAGAAATCAACAAACACGATCACACCAAACGAATAAAGCTGTCCATGTAATATTGAAAAGAAAAGAAAAATCAGGGTTTTTAATGTTGAAAATATAGCTACAAGTCACATAGAAACGTGGGGTCAGAAGCTACTCTCAATCTCAACTAAATCAGACACTGTTATGATTTATGCACCTTAATGTTTGGTGAGATGGATATAAATTTACAAACGACAAATGATAATGAAGAATTATAAATTACTTGTAGGGTAAAGGGAATTAAAGCAATGTTTTTGACAAGGTCAAAGATCAGGTCATTAACTGGATAACCCTTGGGGCAATTTTTTTATTCATAAAATGACCATCCTTCACATGCAAAGATGTGGGCTACACTGCCGCAAATTTAGGTAACAAGAATTGAAAACACGATTGAATTAAATTTTATGTACCAGTAGCAATATATTTAGGTTACAAACAAACAAGAGGTTAATAATGCCCCACAGAAGAATTTGGGTACAGAAGCCGAAGGGGATGGATGGTTTTAGGGTGTTCGCAAGTTGATTATTCTTGCCATATTTGAATTCTTTCCAAGCACGTTATCAGTTTTTTTTTATAAATCGAAATATGGTACTTTTCGAGTCGTGCACGCGAAGGTAATATAGCAGCTGATGCAATGACTTTAATGGATAAAATCAGATCTCCCGACTTTCAAAAAGGCTTGATTTCAACATCCTCATGAAAATAAAAGATGTGGTAAAATGAAAATGGTAAAGGGAAGAATTTTTTACATGCTACAACTGCAAGCTATGCCCTTTCTCCTGGCCTAATTCTCAAACTACTTACGCCCTCACTTTGAATTTTTCCGAATGCCTAGCTTGACTTACAAGCCCGACTTCATAAGCATCGCAGATCTACTTCTTTTTCTTTGATTTGGAAGCTGACTGGGTGTAAGCAGTTCCCTGGAAATTAACAGCCAAAACGGGTATTTTTTTCAGCAAAAGCGTAAAAAGATAAGATTGTTATAGATTAGTGAATTATGCAACAAACTCGTGATGTCCTGTTTATTTAAGACAGTGGTCCATAATATGAGCAGTCGAGGCCCGAGGGTGAATGGACTGAAAAGAAAAACACGATATGGGAAGTAAATGACGATGCATAAGCGAAGTCATAACCTGAAGCCATTCATCCATCGAGGCATCAGCAGTCCTAGTCCCGACTTCCACCTTTGGAGCAACCTTCTTAGTTTTCTAAGAATAACATATAATAAAGGCGAAGACATCAGGCTTACTTCACAAAAGAAAATACATAGTTACTAGAATAAATCAATATAAGAACTGAATGTGGCACAATTACAATACCTTGGTGATACGCTGAAATTGACCATGAAGCCATAAACCAAGAAGAACAAGAAGTGCAATCCCAAGGGTAACAAGAAAGACAGACTCAACACTGACAAATCCACCAGCCTCAACAACTTCAATGGTACCATTGTAGAATGTATTTTGGTAGGGATGGTAGGGATACTGGTCAATTTCATAGACTATCGTACCCACAAGATCAAAAGTTCCAGGCTGCATCAAAATTTTAGAGATATGAGCTTAAATGCAACACTTTCCCTCACAAAGGGAATATATTTACAGCTCTTAAGCATACAACTCTCCCAGAGTATTGATTTACCTGTAAGTACTTGCTAACAGCAAACATGTACGCGAAAGTAGCTTGCACCGAAGAGGATACAGTCGCATTGTTGAAGGTCTATATTAAAACAACACATTTTTAGTTACATAATGTTCAGGCAAATGTCACAAGACAGTTTCAATCCAACAACATAAACCGTAAAACTCAAAGATAAGAGGTGTCCTTTATCAACTTCTTAGCAATAACGAAGCTTAAAATCCTTTTCAAATGACGCAACAACCATTTTATAGGGTTTGGGCAAAAACTCAAAACATAAACCACAGAATAGTCAAAACAAACAGCACAAGATTACAATTGCAACAGTGACCAAGAATAGCATGATATCTAAACTGTACAATGTTTGATAATGGATATTTACGACAGTCAATAAAGATACCACGAGCAAGAGAATATGCATATGATTTAGTCAATGCCTTTTAAACATGTAGACAACAAAATAAGAAAAGGAAGCATATAACTCTCTAGAAGGGGGAAAAAACAATAGATGCTTAGTTTAACTTATAAAAACTAAAAGGAAAAATATACAATAATGTAAAAATTTTAAGTACGTAAATTATAGAAATTAATCAAAATGAAAACTGAACTGGCTAATGATGCATGAGCATTTGAAAATATCACCAGAACAATATAATGAAAACCTATGCTTACCTGAGCTGTAAGATTTTGAACAAGCATTCGATGATCATAAGGGAGATGAACACTGGCTTGAATTGCAATGATATTTAAAGATGACCCGCCTGCACTTTAAAAAAGTATGGTAAGCATAAGAGAGGACTGGCATGGCTAATGAAAAAGTGGCAAGCATTCAAGTCTAGCTAATGAGGACGGATAAATTAACCTATTTCAATACATATATATCAAAATGTATTGTAAAAAGAGCCAGTAAAGTTGTGAAGACAAACTAATTACCAACATATTCCATCCCAACTAAAAGTTCAGTCTCTTCTCCAGCAACAACCACTGTCCAAGAGAAAAGAAGAATGAAGAGAGTTAACCATTACCAATCAAATATAAATGCAAATCACTCACAAACTCATGACATCAAAATGTTCTTACATTTCGCACTATTTTGGGGGAAAAGGTATACAGTTTCCACTCCCAGAGCTGGGCCAAAACTCTCACCACCAATATCTGGAACATCCTCACCAACAATACCGAGATCCCCTCCTTCAACAACTTCTGCAACATCTGCCTCTGCTTCTGATTGACCCCTAGCGACTATCACAGAAATGAAAAATTTTATGTTACAATATTACTCAAATCAATATCGATAGTTTATTTCCCTCAACAAAAGGTAAACAAAAATAATGTAACAAACAAATTTAAATCGGGAAATACTACTTCAAGAATGTTACGTAAAAGTAGTTGACAAGCATTCTCGCCAAAAAGAAGAAAAAAAGGTACTCAACAAGAACGCTTTTCGTTGCCATTTCTTAGAGCAGAAAAAGAAAGCTAAACTAAACTATAAAAACCGGTAAAGTCACGGTACAAAAGTAATCAAATTATCGAAAGGAAAATGAAATGTCAGGGTCATGCAATGTTAAACATGTTAGAACACACAGAAATCACGTCAAATTCACACTATCGAGTCATAAATCAAGAGAGAAGAAAATCGATTCACATGGATGCAAAGGGAATTTTATTTTTTATTTAAAAAAAACACTAGAAGAGAACGAATAGAACCGCAACTCATTTCAACAAATCAAAACAAACGCAAGTAAGAATGCAAGAGGAAAATCCGGAAGTAACATTAGAACCTGTAAGCACAAATAGCAGATTAATGTCAAATGAAAAAGAATAGATTTAGATCTGGAAAACAATTTGCAGACCTTGGAAAAGAGGAGAGGCGGCGATGAGTAGCGCAAAGAAGAAAACCCTGAAACTTCTCGTAACCATCTTCGAGAGCTTCATACTTCGTTAACGAATAGAAAATAATAAAAATAATAAAAGTATTAAAAGAGAGAAATGATCTGTAAGAAATGTGTTGATGACTAATAAGGGCTGGCTGGGTTTTCCAACGCTAACTATATATCAGACCCGAATAACAGAGCTTGACGAAGGATCAAAGCTAGGGATGGAAACGGGCCGGGTATTATTCCCGTTCCCGTCCCCGTTTAAAAAATTGCGGAGATTTAAACGAGATCCTTATAGGGTAATAAGGGAAAATCGCGGGGAAACGGTTATCCCTGTTTAGCATAAACGGTTATTTAAACGGGTATCGGGCCGGATATATATATTTATATATTTAAATTAAATATATAAATATTATATATATATTTAAATTTAAATTAAATTTATTAATATTATATATATATATAATAATTATTTTTAATATTTATCGGGACAGGTATCGGGCCGGGTAATCGGGGCGGGGATTACCAAACTCGTCTCCGTCCCTATTTAACATAAACGGTTTTTTCCCGTCCCCGTTTAGCATAAACGGTTTTTCCCGGTCCCCATCTCCTTTAGCATAAACGATTTTCTTCATCCCCGTTTAATTTGATTTTCGGTTTTCCTCGTCGAGTTCGGATTTTTTTGCCATCTCTAATCAAAGCAAATGTTTTGTCGATGGCTGCTTAAATCATAGGGTAAACTCATAAGTTGTCCCTAAGTTTTAGAGAGTTTTTATTTTCGTCACTTAATTTTTAAAACATATAATACAATCATTAAAATTTTAATTAATTTTCATTACTATCACTATCGTCAGTTATTATAAATAAAAGCTAATGTTACATATTAAATTCATCTTCTTCTAAAAGAACTCTAATTTTTTTTTCTAAATTAGTAATCATCATTTGAATCATCAGCTATGTAACCGTCTGATGTTCTTTCGATCATCGTCGTCACTAAACATCTATCATATTTAGGAATGTCACCATCTTCCCACGATCGTTGAACCATTCATCATCTTCATTTTATAAAAACCCAAAAACCACAATTACAAGTCATAATTATCGATCATGATCAGACGAACCAAAACATCGTCCACTACCACATTCATAAATAGCAACTAAACTTCAACGAAAACAAGTAAATAAGTAAAGAAAAGGAAAAGGAGATGAAAATTATTCATCTCGATCTTGGTGTGTTTTTGATGGAGTGATCGTTGATCAATTCCAATGGTAGAAATGCTATGTTTGACCAAAAACTAATATAGTTTGATTTCAAACCAATCTAACAATTGACTATGACAGATTGAAATGTTTGTGCTCTCAATTTTAATTAAAAATTGTTAAGATTGATAGATTTTTTTTACGAGTTTAAATCAAAGGAAAGAGAGAGAGAGAGACTAGTAGTTCGATGATATTTTCGACTAAAAGAACATCGAACAACAATAAAAGCGATAGGAAAAGTAGAAAAAACGACTATCAATTTAGAAGAATACAAGATTGAGAAGATTATGATTTTTAGAGGGAAGAATAACTTTAACACTTCAAAAAAAAATTTACAATAATAACGACAATGACAATAGTGAAAAATAAATTGAAAATTCAATGATTGTATTGTAAGTTTTAAAAGTTTGATAGCCAAAATACAAATACTCTAAAAGTTCAGGAGCATTTATGTGGTTTACCCTAGACAATGTACCACCCAGTAACGTTTGTTCATTAGTTCTTGGATAATAGAGTATGTAGAAACGGGGTTGGGATCCGAGAGAGGATTCGCCTCATGCATGTGCTTAAAAGAAGAGCTTTGCCGGTACACGTGCTATTTCCGAGTGACTCCGATTTATATACATAGAATAATTCCCAAAAAAGAAAAAAAGAGAGGGAGAGTTCCAAAAATTTCAGACAAAAAACATGCCGTAACATAAACTTTAAGATTTTATATAATCTATAAATAATATAAAAATGTAAGATACAAGATGAGGATTGAAGCCCAAGTCAGGCAATAACACATTAATAAAACAAAAATCCATCAAAACAAAAATACAACGAGGTCCTCCCATGCACTCAAACGTCCGGTGACGAGCATAATCAGTCTCAGTGGATGGTGTAGCGCTCCCATTTCTTTGTTGGGTCATATATCTGCCATTTTACAAAACAAAATATAACCATCCAAACTTAGTCTTCATCCTTAAACAGATCACATCAATTCTAGCAAGTTTCCATTGCATCAGAAGTGATAAACAGACATATACCTCCCATCTTGACGCAGGGAAGATGTGCTTGTTCTTTTCATACCAATGCCTCTCAACTACTTTACCAGCATGCGACTGTCAATAATCGAACAAAATGGGTGTCATTAAGCACCACGTTATACGAATAGTTTTGAACTCTTCATGCAACTACGAGAGGTTGGAAAATTACCTCATCTTTCTCAATTGTAGCATCGGCTATTGTTCTCACATCTTCATGCACTTCAAAATGGAAAAGCTGTTTTGAGAAAAAGGACAAACAACATTCATAAGTAATGGATGGTAACTCACTCTAGCAAGACTAACGTGTAAATTATTTGAACTGCAAACTACTGATGTTAACTCATCAGACATAAGATATGGCAACTGATACAAGGGAATATTTATAGAGCATTACCGGTCCACTTTTGCCCCTCGCCTTATTAACAATCAGCTCATAGAAGCTATGTTGCTGAACTTTCACAAACATGTAAAGAAATGAAATTAGATTAGATTAGTTAGCATCCATTTAGCACATTAAACATATTGCTGTAATTGAAAACCAATTTTATGTTCGACTCATATGAGGAATGATAAGATCTTCTTTTACATAAAGCAGGTTTTCCACTGTAGTTGTCCGAATCTCTCTGAACTCTGGTGCAAGCTGCTGCTGTACTGCTCGAAGGAATTCTCCTATGGTATCACCCTTACGTGCCTGAATAACAGAAAAAAACAGAAACAATTAAAATGATGGTTATCTTTTCTTTTTCCCCCTTTAAAAAAAGGAAGCAGAAATTAAAGCATTCAAATGGATAAATTTTACTTAGGTAGTTTTCCTTGCCTTGATCACTCGTCTATGGCCAGCTCCATCTCAATAGCTGTACGTTATTTCAAGGGGTTCATCTGAAACACACAAGAGAGAGAGAGGTCAAGACACCATATTTCATGCATCCATATCAAAAAGGAAAATCTCAGAACAAAGCTTACTCTTAATTAGCTCCTGTTCAACAATCCACTGTTTTCGCAGAATTTCACGCTCAGCTCATTCCTCTGCTTCCCGTTCACTGCAAGATCATCCTCATCAAGTCTAAGCTCAAATGTTGAGTCTAATACCACATGCATATAAATACATGGCATGCTACCAGAAGCATATAGAGAGAAATGTCACCTGACAGGCAGAAAGCTTGTTTCCACTGGGATCTTTGCCAAATTTCCCACAACTAAAACTCTTTTGTTCTGGACTTTCTGCACAGAGAAATGTCGCTAGTAAAATGCTTATTACCATTTTCAGTTAATAGTTGAAAAACAACACTCTTTTATATAGTTGGGTCGGTCCAAATACTTGATATCACTTGGCCAGACAAATGTTAAGGCAAAACAATTCTAGATCTCCGAACATAATCTATAAACGAAACAGAGAATAATTAAAAGAGTTTTGCGCAGGTAAAATTTTGCAAAAGAACAACACCATTACCTTTAATGCATGCTAATTGCATCTACCAATATTTGTATATTGAGACGAACAAATTATAATGCAAAAAGCAAAAAACTATTGCCATAAAATTTTAAGAGAAGAAAAAGATCATTTCTCATTGTTTTCAGCATCATCCTCTTCCCTTCCATTATCCAAATCGTCAGCAAAAGATAGTCGAGAATTCCCTTTAACCTTCCTTTTTTACGCTTTTGCAGCTGAAGCTCTTCCTCTCTACAATAACAACGAATTAATTAAATAAAGGAACAATTTTCATAGAAAAAATTAAAAAAATATTATACATGAGACTTACTCGTGTTTAAGCTTCTGGAGTTTCTCCTTCTCTTCCTCTTCTATTTTGTTTCGGATGTTAACTCTCTATCAAAATATCAAAAGAAATTCGAGTAAGGCACCTCATTTAAAAAAATAATATATATACCTTGAAGAATGAACTGAATTAAGAAAAAAAATTACCTTCTCGACATATTGCTCTTTCGTAACCAAACAAACCGTTTCTTTTTTAAAAGCAGCCTCGACAATCTGAAGAAACAAACAATAAAGAAAGATGTATCAAATGAAAATATTAGGACTATGAAGGGAAGGAAAATTAAAACTCTAGGATTGTGAGAGGAAGCGGACCTCGGACTTACTTGAGCCGAATTGGAGGAGACCGGGTTGGCCCTTATCGGAGGCGGACTTGGTTTTAAGCTCTTGGATTCTGCGCCGCTCGGCCTCTCTCTGCTTCTCCAAACGTCGGATCCTCACCGTATCTTGGGCCGTGCCCACGTTCCCGTCTCCTATTCCCGACATCTTCGGTTTCTTTTTTTTTTCGTTTTTCTTCGCTTCTTTGTGTTTTGCGACTCTCGAGCGCTTTTCCTTCCCGCTTGTGCTACTGACTGAATGCAGAGGGAAAATAAAAGGGGAAGTACAACTTATGTGATTTAATTATATGTTCGATACAAAATTAGATTATTTTTTCTAAATATTATAATTTAATTATGTAATTAAATATTTGTTACAAGTAGCTCATTATCGTAATATTAATCGGATGCGATCTATATGATAACAATTTAAAATAAATAAATAACATAAAATGTATAAATAATTTTTTGATTATATAATATTATTTTATTGAATACTTCAATTATTAAAAGTTATAAAATAATTTTTTATTATCTATTGTTATTTTATCGAGTTACTTGATTATTAAAAGTTATAAAATGATTACATGATTATCTATATGTTTCAAATTTATCATTTATCATTAAAAATTGACAATCTTTTGAGCTTAAAGTTAACATGTTGACTGATATATGATAAAATTTGACCTCATAATTATTTCTGGTGCATTTTGTGGATTGAGTCTCCATTTATATTATATCGTCGAGTCAGTGTTTGAAACATTATGTTGTCGAGTCAGTGTTTGAAAGTAACGACGATGCTAGTTGATATAATTAAAATATGATTTTATTATATTTTAGTCAACATATTAACATCTAACTCAAACGACCGTAAATTTTTTAACATAAAATGACGAGTTTATAACATACGAATAATTAAATAATTATTTTATATATTTTAATAATCAATATACTCAACAAAATAATTTGTTATAAATAAAAAATATTTTATAATTCTTAATAGTAAAAATTTAACAAAAACAACACCTTAAGATCGTTTGTATAATTTACCTAAGTAAATAACGAGACATTCAATCTTTACTCTAGTGCAGTGTAGAGTCAAATTTCCAATATATTTTCATTTGCGTCACAAAACGACGGAATCTATGGTTTACGATAGACTTCATACTCTCCTGCGTGGATTTCCAATCATCGAAAGGCAAAATAAGAGCCAAGAAGAGACGTTAGATGTGAGTTTGTGAAGGTTCTATTCGATCTCAATTCATGGATCAACTCACGAGCGATTCTGCTTTTGTTCAATCCATTCCATCTTCTAATTCAAATCCTTCAATCATCGAGTTCCGTCAACCCCCTATCGATCCACTCCTTCCCTCTACCACCCGCACCCAACCCAAATCTAGGTTAGGTTTTTCTTATCTCCGTTTTTCGTTTTTCAAATTTTTTAACTTTCCACAATGATTGATTTTCTGGGCGGGTTTTAGTTTATCTGGTTGAATTTCAATGATTTCATGCTTTTTTTTTCTTGGCAGCTCAAGGGTTGAAGGGGAACCCAAAGATTGTATTGCGGTGAGAAAACTTCAAAAGGCTGACCGTGAGAAATTAAGAAGGGACCGTCTCAATGAACACTTCCTTGAGTTGGGAAATGCACTTGGTAAATTAAGGAATTGGGTTCCTGCATAATTTGGTCTCTACAATATGATTTGAAGCTATGGTTTTTGTATGCATATGAATATGATTATCAGTACAGGGTTTGAGTTCTTGAGCTATAATTTGTTGTACCGAATGCTAATGCCTATGAAATTTGATTGGAAAATTGCTACTAAATGCTTCCAGGTTGTTTGCACTATAGAAATTTTTTTCCTGGTATTATTGGTGAAAGTCTTAAGTTCATTTTTGCGTAAACAAGAGTTTGACTATATTTAGTACTTGATACAGTTGTACTTGTTTTATTTTTATATTTCCCTAGAAAATTTCTTTAGGGTGATGCTTATTTGTTTGCACAATCCAGATCCTGATAGGCCTAAAAATGACAAAGCAACCATCCTTACTGATACGATTCAATTGCTGAAGGACCTTACGTCTCAGGTCACCAAGCTGAAAGAAGAGTATGCTACACTGACTGAAGAATCTCGTGAGGTAATCCCTGTGTATTTGACTTTATCTATGGTTTTTAGATTTGCAAAACTCCTGATGGGAATTTTACATAGTCGTTTCTTTCTTTTGGAGCAGTTGACACAGGAGAAGAATGATCTCAAAGAAGAGAAGGCATCTCTTAAATCTGATATCGTAAATCTTAATATTCAATACCAGCAGAGAGTCGGGACTGTGTTTCCATGGGCCACTGTGGATCGCTCAGTTGTCATGGCCCCTCCTTATCCATATCCAGTACCAATGGCAATGCCTCCTCCAGGAGCCATTCCTATGCATCCGTCCTTGCAACCATTCCCCTTCTATGGGAATCAAAATCCGGGGATCATTCATAACCCCTGCTCCACTTTTTTCCCATATATGACTCCTAATACAATGGTTGAAAAGCAGTCAGCACAGCCTGTTGCTCCACCTGCACAACCAAGCAGCCACTCCCATGCTTCAGGCAAACAAGATTCAAAAAACAAGTCCTCAGGGGAGAGCAAGACTGAAAAGACATTGGATTCAAATGATGTCACTACTGAGCTTGTGTTAAAAACACCAGGTTCTACGGCAGATCAGGTTTGTTTAGAGTGTTATTGCTTGGTTTGTGCTTTGTGCCAGTCCTAGTGGGTATTGTTCCATTATGATTTAACATATTCATTAGAGTGCATGGCTGACTTACTGGTGTACATCTGCAGGATTTATCATCAGGCCAAAAAAAGTTGAAGAAATCTTTGAAGAAAGATGACAGCAATACGGAAGGGAGTTATTCAAGTAGTTGCTCCTCATCTTATAGTGTACGGGATAGCTCATCCAATAGCATAGGGGGTGGAACTAAGCCTGATGACGTAGATGGGTAAAACAATTGACAAATGCCTGTGCCAGGTTGTTTGCAACTTCTGCGCATCTTGTTTTCCTTTTATTTTATGCCCCAGTAGTTCTTAATTTCTCCTCCACTTGAGAATCTAATTATTTTTCCCACAAACTTAATCAATGGGAATTGCTGTTATGAATTGTAGGCTGTGTTTGTCGTTAATAACACTTTCTTGAGACGGAAAGGATGGTGATGATAATCTTCCGTGCCTTCTGTTATGGATTAGAAATTTGGTGGAACTAACAAGTAATGTAGGAGCTGATGGTTGTAAAGATAGATAGAGTTCATTTTTATGTAATCCATTTGTGTAAATTATATGCACTTTTAACATTCTAATTGTGTCTCAAATATTTCAAAAAGGGAAAAAAGTAATTTTTCTCTCAAGGCTGATATCTTAGATTCCTAGTAGAAAAATGTTGATGAAACACCTAGATTGCTGGTGTGTAATGTAGACCGTTGTTCTATAATATCTGTTGAAATTTATCTGTTTCATGCTACAAAGTATAATCTAGCCGTGTTGGATGTTTTATGGTAGCTTTGCGTGGAGCAATATTGTACATGGTTAAACATGTCTTGCTTAGGTTCCCATATGGAGAATATTGAATTGTAAATGTTTGAATGTCAGTGGCAGAAGGGTCAAGGTTTGCAGTATCTTGTTGCTTATGTGGATTTTGTTTGCCAACTGAAAACAAGATTGAGAATTTTCCCAGAAAGTTCTTGTCCAGTGGATTGATTCTATTGAATGCTGAAGAGTTAAGGAAGTGGGGAACTGTTATATGCTGCAGTGGAATGGGTGGTAGCTGGAACCCCTATTGGAGACCAATGACCCAGGTTCCTTATTTTTTATTTGGTTTAATCCACAATTTAGCCCATCAAGTACACATTTTTTCTACTTTACACCTTAAACTATTTTTTGTTCCAGTTTGCCCCCTAAGCTACCATTTTTGTCCTAGTTTGTCCTGAAAATTATCAACTTCCAACAATAACGTGTCAGCTTGGATTTTAGGGGGCAGATTGGGACAAAAAAGTTGACGGTGTAAAGTGAGGAAAATCAGAGGATAAGTTGTGCGTTAAGCCCTTTTCTTTTGCTGATGCTTGAACCAAACAAACAGTATAAAGGCTGGCAAGCCCATGACAAAATTGAAGTAGGCTTGTGGTTGCTGGAAATAATGAAAAGGAAAGACAAATGTCTCAACCACTGTAAAGTGTCTTTGAAATGTTCATTACATGTAGTTTCACACTTTTTAACGACTTCGTCATGTGATCAATCTGTTCAAAATCTCAACGTCTCAAAACAATGTTTTATTTTTGTATATAAAAATAAATTTGATTTTATTGTCAAAATCACTTTAAGTAACTAAATAAACTAAATTGATATTTTTTAAATATAATTTTTCATTATAATGTTAAAAACTTATATAAAATATTTGGTTTGTGTTATTTCTTGTTTAATTATTAATTTTATACATAAGTGAAATAAACATATATATGTAATTTATTATTTAAAAATGAATTGGTTTGAATTTTTAAAATTGAAAATAATCATCAATATCAAATAAATTGTGTATAAATAAAAATATTTGACTATGTTTATTCATTTTATTCGATTAATTATAGAATTAATGTTCACTCATGATCAATCCATCTATCAAAGTCGAAATATATTCTATTTACAATCTATTAAATTAAGTTAGTATGCCTGCATTATTTTGTTATGTTTCGTACCTTAGTTATCATTTTTGTTCTGTTTTTGTCATCCAATTATTTTTAAAATTATACCTAATGTTTAGTTTTGCTTTTATTTAGTCACCCATCCTTAAATAATTAACAATGATGTTATTATGTCATCATAAAATAATATCAAGCCATCATTGAAAAAAATAAAAAATATAACGTCAGCAGTTCTGTTAACTTAACTATAGATAACTAAAATAAAACCAAAATGTAATATTATGTATGATTTCAGGAAAAAAATTATCAAAATAGAGTAAAATCAATAATTAGAATACTAAATGTGTCGTTTAACCAATTAAGTCTGTTAATTTTACGTTGACGTAGGGACTATTATCTCCTTTGCCGGCGGTGGCATTCTCGGGCATAAGATTGGACAACACAACAACTACATTCAGGCTGATTCTGTTGATGAAGGAATTCTAAGGAAATCTCCATCGTCCCTTCACTGATCGTAGACTTGGGGTGTTATCATTTCGATTATAAAATAAATTTTTAAGTTGAAAAAAATTCCATTTCAATTATCCAATCATTATTTTTTAGATTAAAAAAATTTATAACCAACATGATAACTCCTAAAATGTTGAATGATCATGAATAATTTACGCTTTAAAAAAATTAGTTATAAGATTATTTGTTGGAATTACTTCTAATTTTTATTTTTTTTTACAAAATAATACTTCTTCAAAATCAAATATATATGTATATTTAAAATGTAGATATACAAAAAAAATCAATTCACTTTCTGTTTTTTGTTTTTTTAAGAAGAAAAAAAATCCAATCCAACAAAATGGAAAACAATTATCAATACAAAATTTAAAAATAATTATTAGTATTAGGGGAAAGAGGAGGAATTTTGGAGAGATAAATGTTGGCAATGGAGAAGGATTGTGATTCAAAGATTAATAATGTTGAGGGAACCAATGACAATTCAAATCATTCATCTTCTAATGATGGTGCTTCCAACTATGCTCATCAGAGATCTAAAAGCTTTTCATTTAGAGCTCCTCAAGAGAATTTCAGTATCCAGGATTTTGAATTGGGCAAGAAATATGGTGTTGGTTCCTATTCAAAGGTTAGTTTCCTGTATTTTGATTTTGGTACCTGGGATTTCTGGGTTTCTTTTTGTTTTGTTTTTTATCAATGTCTGATTATTTATTCGCATGTGCATGCCATGGCTTTAAGATTTTGATATGAAGTGATTATTTCTGATAATTTGTGTGTGTTTTTGTGAGATATGTGTTGATTTTATGTTTGAATGGAAGGAAATATATTTGCTTAGTTTTATAGAAATTTGATGCACAGGAAAGAACATAAAGCATCATTAGTTTTTCCTAGGAAATGTGTATTATTCCTGGTAAACAGTTATTGAATTGTTCACTTAGTATATGTTTGTTTGCTCACCATTTTCTCGTGTGAACATCTGCCTAGTTCAGACTATTAACGATGTCATCAGGTTGTGAGGGCAAAGAAGAAGGATACAGGAATGGTGTACGCTTTGAAAATCATGGACAAAAAGTTCATCACCAAGGAAAATAAAACAACTTATGTAAAGTTGGAACGTACTGTTCTTGACCAACTAGACCATCCTAGTGTTGTGCGCCTATGTTTCACATTCCAAGATACCTTTTCACTGTGTAGGTTAGGTTTCAAATCACGGTCCGAAAACGTGATTTCATCCGCGAAATAGTAGTTTCGTCGCCGTCCGAGTTACCTGCTACACCCGCAATAGCAGTTTCGCCGTCGTCCGAGTTACCCGCTACACCCGCAATAGCACCTAATAGTGTCTGCGATGGCCACAATCACAGTAAACCCGAAATGAACGAAAACACGACTATGACCGCGATTTGAAACCCTGATATAGGTATTCTCGGCTGTATTAACTAATAGTATTCATCTCTTTTATCTCTTGACGCTCTTCCCTTAGTTATATCTTTCCAGCTCTTTCAATTTGCATTGTTGTTTGATGAGGTTTTCTTTGATTATGTCGTGAAGACATGGCACTTGAATCTTGTGAAGGTGGAGAACTTTTCGACCAAATTACAAAAGTCACTCTTAGCATATAACACTACATAGTTGTGGAGATTTCACACAAAAACACTTGATTTTATATCTGTTGGTTTGTTTGTGGGTCAGTTAACTCACCTTCTGGTTTCATTTTCTGCAGAAAGGTCGTTTATCCGAGGATGAAGCTTGCTTCTATGCTGCAGAAGTCGTAGATTCTCTTGAATACATACACAGCATGGGATTGGTACATAGAGATATTAAGGTATTCCCAAGCATGTAACTTTTGCAAGGAACAAAATTCTGGACCGAACCGGCTGGTTGAATCGGCAACCATAGCCAGTCTGATTTGGTGGGTATAAAACCCTGGATAAACGTTCAACCTCTTAGTAACTATATATATATTCACGTTAAGTAAGTGTTTAAAATATTTAAACATTAAACAATCAAACCTCCTGGTTCAACTGGTGAACCAAGAATCACAGGCCTGACCGGTTTGATCTCCTGTATGGTTTTTCTAACATTGATTTTTTGTTATATGACATCTGAGAAATGCTAAATGTTTCTTCCTCGGCAGCCAGAATTTGCTACTTACTACCGATGGGCATGTTAAGATTGCTGACTTTGGTAGTGTAAATACCATGCAAGACAGCCGGATTACAATCCTTCCTAATGCATCATCATGTAAAATCATCATTTTATCACTATAGTACTTGGACTCGGGTATGAATATTGGATATGGGTGTATGTTTGTAATAATATATATATATTTTTTTAAGTTTTCCCATGTGTTCGGAGGATCGTTGAAGTTCATATCTCATATCCTTGTGTCGGATACAAATGTATCTAAAATTCTTAAGGCTAAGATCATCTCTGGTGCCCTGTCCAGATGACAAGGCATGGACGTTCGTTGGTACAGCCGCATATGTTCCACCCAAGGTCCTAAATTCTTCTCCTGCAACTTTTGGGTAAATGATCTTCAGTTTCTTATTGAGTTAGTCTCATTCTATATTAAAATTGTCAAATCCGAAACAAAATCTTAAGCTTACTACAAGTAATTGTAGAATTCTTTTCTCCTTTATTTTTGTTTTCTGCTTGCCCCCTCTCTCCCCCCCCCACCGTTTCCTTTTATCCCACCAATGGGTTTCCGAGATAGTGCAAATGTAGGTAATTGTGGTTTAGCTTATTTGTTTTCCTTGATCTATCCATTTATTGTTTATATGATGACTAGTTTGTTTGAATTTGTTTGAATGTACATATTCAAACAGAAATGACCTCTGGGCACTTGGCTGTACTGTCTACCAAATGCTTTCCGAGACGTCTCCTTTTAAAGACACAAGCGAATTGCTTATATTTCAAAGAATTATAGCCAGAGATATAATATTTCCAAATTATTTTTCTGAAGAAGCCCGAGACCTTATTGATCGCTTATTGGTAAGCTGCAATTTTATGCATGTTGGATTAGTTTTGTGCTATGCATCCAGAAACTTGTATGCTTAAGACCTTGAAGTTGATCTCTTATCTAGTTTTGTTGTTGATGCGTATCATATTTGTTTCCATAAATTTATGAAAAATCGACTATAAAAGAAGCTCTGCAACTGGCATACATTTGGTCGTTCTGATTTGTTGATTTTGATCCAAGTTTTCAGAGGACTTAGAATCTGCGTAGTTTTAATATGATGGAAAATCAGCTAATGATTTTCAAGATCATGATATAATTTTCCATCATATTGCTTGAATATCAATCATTCTGTTTTCATGAGCTTCATGATAGAAATTCATAGGCTGATATCTTCAAGTGCAACTGCCAATACTTTTTCATTTTGATTACTCTTTTCAACAAGGTCCGAGTCACACACATTACATTGTACTTTTGCCTCCTTTGGCTTGATCCCAGTAGACGACCTGGTGCCAGACCTGACGGTTATGCCATGCTCAAGAAACATCCTTTCTTTAAGAGAACCGAATGGAGTAGTTTAAGAGCACAAACCCCTCCTAAACTCGCTTTTGACAGAGGGGTATGATTGCAGACATGTTTTCAGTCATTATTTACAGTGGAATCCAGCTTCTCTTTGCATCTTGTATTTCAAGAGTTTTAGAGTTGTGTTGTTATCTATTAATTTCAGGGTCAATCAAGTAAGGGAAAAGATCGTCACGATACTTAAAGGACTCCTTCGCATGTTAGAGCTGGTTAGGCTCGACAAAATGACAGAAATGTTGGCACCTCGTTGCAAACTGAATCACCTGGCCGTATACATGGATCTGCCTCTATCGAGTCCTTCGACTCGAAATGGTATTTATCAATACTCTTTTTTATATTCTTAGCTCGTGTTCTTTAATGTTAGAGCTGAATCATACGTATTTTCAACTCGGCGAAGCAAGTGTAGACTGAACATAATCGATTT